ATAACCAGCTAGCATCATGATGACAAGATTAAATCCACATATAACAATACTAAGCTTAAAATGGAAATGGAAATGCTCCAATTAAAAGACACAGAATAGCAAGCTTGATAAAGACCCAAGACCCATTGGTATGCTGTCTTCAAGAGACCATATCACATGCAAAGATACATATAGGCTCAAAATAATGGAATGGAGGAAAATTTGCCAAGCAATAGGAAAACAGAAAAAACAAGAGTTGCATTCCTAGTTTCTGACAAAACAGACTTAAATCAACAAAGACTGAAAAAGACAAGAGCAATTCATAAAGGTAAAAAGTTCAGTTCAACAAGAAGAGCTGAATATCCTAAACATATGTACACGATACATATTGGGTGTATATATATATATATATATATATATATATATATATATATATAAAGTTTCATAAAGCAAGTTCATAGAGACCTTCAAAGAGACTTAGACTCCCATACAATGATAGTGGGAGACTCTAACACCACATTGACAATATTAGATATTCAGCTCAGCTGTACTCAAGAACTGAGTACAGCTCTGGATCAGTGGATCTGATAGTTATCTATGGAACTGTCCACCCCAAAACAACATACCATACATTCTTCTCATTGTCACATGGCACTTACTCTAAAATTGATCATATAATCAGAAGTAAAACACTCCTCAGCAAGTGCAAAACAACTAATATCATAATAGTCTCTCAGACAATAGCACAATCAAATTAGAACTCAGGATTAAGGCATTCACTCAAAACCATACAACTAAATGAAAATTGAACAATGTACCCCCAAATGACTCTTAAGTAAATAATGAAATTAAAGCAAAAATCAAGAAGTTTTTTTTTTTTTTGAGACTGAGTCTTGCTGTGTCTCTGAGGATCTCAGCTCACTGCATCCTCTCTGCCTCCAGGGTTCAAGAAATTCTCCTGCTTCAGCCTCCCAAGTAGCTGGGATTACAGGTGTGCACCACTACGCCTGGCTAATTTTTGCATTTTTAGTAGAGATGCGTTTTCGCCATGTTGGCCAGGCTAGTCTCAAACTCCTGACCTCAGGTGATCTGCCCACCTCAGTCTCCCCAAGTGTTGGGATTATGGGCGTGAGCCACTGCACCCAGCCTAAGAAGTTCTTTGAAACTAATGAGAACCAAGATACAATGGACCAAAATCTCTGGGATGCAGTTAAAGTGTATGAAGAGGGAAATTTATAGCACTAAATGCTCACATAAAAAAACTGGAAAAATGTCAAGTTAACAACCTAACATCACAATGAAAAGAAATGAAAAGAACTAGAAAATCAAGAGCTAACAAACCACTAAGCTAGCAGAGACAAGAAATAACCAATATCAGAGCTGAACTGAAAGAGATAGAGACACATGCACACAAAAAAACCCTTCAAAAAAAAAAAAATCAACTAATCCAAAAAGCTAGTTTTTAAAAAATTAATACAACAGGCCACTAGCAAGACTAATAAAGAAGAAAAGACAGAAGAATTAAATAGACACAATCCAAAATGATAAGGGGGATATTACCACTGACCCAACAGAAATAAAAACAAGCATCAGAGAATATTATAGACACCTCTATGCACATAAGCTAGAACATCTAGAAAAAAAGAGTTCCTGGATACATGCACCCTACCAAGACTGAACCAGGAAGTAACTGAATCCCTGAATAGACCAATAATGAGTTCTGAAATTGAGGCAGTAATAAATAGCCTGCCAACTAAAAACAGCTCAGGACCAGATGGATTCACAGTTGAATTCTATCAGAGGTATAAAGAAAAGCTGGTACCATTCCTACTGAAACTATTCCCAAAAAATTGAAAAGGAGGGAGAGACTCCTCCCTAACTTATTTTATGAAGCCAGCAACATCCTGATGCCAAAACCTGGCAGAGATACAACAGAAAAAGAAAACTTCACGCCTTGATGAACATCAATGCAAAAATCTTCAACCAAATACTAGCAAATCAAATCCTGCAGCACATCAGAAAGCTCATACCCCACAATGAAGTAAGCTTCATTCCCCAGATGCAAGTTCAACATATGCAAATCAATTGATGTGATTCATCACATAAACAGAACTAAAGACAAAAACCACACGATTATCTCAACAGACACACAAAAGGCCTTTGATAAAACTCAATATCGCTTCATGTAGAAAACTCTGAATATACTAGGTATTGAGGTAACATACCTCAAAATAACAAGAGCCATATATGGCAAACCTACAGCCAATATTATACTGAATGTACAAAAGCTGGAAGCATTCCTCTTGCACACCAGCACAAGACAAAGATGCCTTCTCTCACCACTCCTATTCAACATATTATTGGAAGTTGTGGCCTGGGCAATCAGGCAAGGGAAAAAAATGAAGGACACTCAAATAGGAAGAGAGGAAGTACAACTCTCTTTGCAGATGACATGATCCTATATCTAAGGATGCAGGAAAAACCCCATTGTCTCAGGCAAAAAGCTTCTGAAGCTAATAAGCATCTTCAGCAAAGTCTCAGGATACAAAATCAATGTGCAAAAATCACTAGCATTCCTACACACCAACAACAGGCAAATCAAGAGCCAAATAGCAAATAACCTCCCATTCACAACTGCCCCAAAAAGAGTAAAATATCTAGAAATACAACTAACAAGAAAAGTGAAGGACCTCTTTAACGGAAACTAAAAACCACTGCTCAAAGAAATCGGAGGTGACACAAACAAATGGAAGAACACTTCATGCTCGTGGATAGGAAGAATCAATATCATAAAAATGGCCATACTGACCAAAGCAATTTACAGATTCAATACTGTTCCCATTAAACTACCATTGACATTCCCCACGGTATTAGAAAAAACTATTTTAAAATTCACATGGAACCAAAAAAGAGCCTGAATTGCCAAGGCAGTCCTAAGCAAAACAATGATTGTGGAGGCATCACTCTATCCAACTTTAAACTATACTACAGAAAAACTCTTTTACAGCTGAGCTACTAGATGGATTCAGGTATGCAAATCTGAGCACAGGGTAGGAGGCAGGAGCTGAACTGCTGCATCTTAGAAGGCATTTCCCTTCTGTAGTCCTGGATGGAAAAGGGATGAAGGGAGAAGTGAGGTTCTTCAAGAGTTGCAAACTGATGTGAGCTCAACTAACACTACTGACAATTTATCAGTGGAGTGGGAAACGGTGGCTGAGCATGAATTATTAGTGGAAACTGGCGGGGGGAAATGTAGTTTCAAGATCAGGTTAGCTTCAGCAAAAACAGTTGGCTGGTGCATACAAAGGAGCTGGGGACACAAGACATCATGAGAAAGCAAATTTCTGGGAATACACAGAAACTTCAATGAAGTATTATGTTTCTACAGTTCATGGAATTGGGGATTCATGACAAGTTTACAGCTTTTTGTGTAGCAGGAAGACCTTGAGTTGTTGACCAAATCATACTAGTTTGTGATGTAATTTGAGCTAAACAATAGGTGTTTTGATTCCTGGTTCAATGCTCTTTCACATCATAATGGGGTTTTTCTACCTACAAAAGACTTAGCAATAACTAGGATTTTCTGCTTTGCAAGACAATCTAGATCCCAGAGTAAGGAGCTGTCAAAAGGGGAATAAATTCTGCATTGTAAGGGCCTTCTTGTTAATATTAATTCTTTCTTCAACTTCTTGGTTTCATTTACTCAACTACTTTTACCACTGCCCAAGCAGAAAACCACTGTCTACACATCAGATGCAGATCAAATCTGCTTCTAAATCTAGAAAGCAAGTATGAATTTCAGCCTAGATGTACAAAGAAGACAGTAATATTAAAGTACTAAAAATGCAGAGCATCCTGTCTTTGCAGTTCTCTGAATCCTCATTAAATCTCTTTGATCTTAGTGAAGACATTTCATTTGTCTATGAGGTTATCATTCACAGGGCTGGCTCCCTCAGAGGTTCCTCAGAATGGAACACGATTTAGGGCTTAATGTTGTATCTGTTCCTGTGTTGAAATTCTTTAAATTTGTTTTGCAAATAAAGTCCAATGGGACAACAGAGGAAGTGCTGAAAGCATGGCACCTCATCAGACATGTGGTTTTATCTCCTGGGTATAGGAGGTGGCAACAGTTATGAAATGAGGCTGAGGAGCATACCGGACAGTCAGCTGCTCCTCAGGACAGTCCCCATTTAGTAACTTGCCACCTCCTATAGCTAGAGCTGTGGCCAATGTGCAGCTGGAGAAGGGTGGGGTCAGGCCCACGTCCTTTGCACTGAGTCATGGGTGAGGCCATGCACCAGTGAGGGTCTGTACTTTCCTTAAACATGAAGGAGCCAGACATTAAGTAGTGAATAAAAAACACCATGACACGTCAAGAGAAAGCTTTTCCCTGCTTTTTGAACAAGAGGCCCCACATTTTTATTTGCCCTGGGTCTTACAAATTATGTAGCTGGCCCTGATCTTACCTGGCCTTTATCTGACAATCTCAAACCAATGCTACTTTTAGATTTCCAACTAAATACTCTCAACATATGTGGAACAATATGTCTGGTCTTACTAAAAGTATTATTTGGTATCAAGAACTTTTAATACTAAGCACAGAGTCAGATATTTTTAATAGTCCAACAGAGGGAAAAGGTCTTCTAAATTATTTTTACCAGCAGGTATTATTAACAATAGAAATTGTGGATCTGTTTTTGTGACTTGATGATGTAATGCATGAAATCAAAAAATGATGGAGTTTTTTCCATTGAGCCAGCCAGGAAAAAAAATTGCTTATTTCTCCACAGGGAAAATATTATCACTCCATGTTTTCTATCACATTAGGGAAAATTTTTTAAAAATCTTGTTACTTCTCTCTGATGCCGTTTGTTCATAAATAACTACTGATTTTCCCATTATCTACCTGATACCATAGTAAAGTGGCCCTACGCCAGTAACAGCAGAGGAATTAAGAAGTGTAAGAAATAGTATTTTATGTCTCTTTAATTTTGTTTCTGCTTCACATCTTAGTATCTTACCTTGAGCTTGGCCAAAAGAAGTTTATGATCATGAAGAAGTTTTTTGGTTTCATCCTGACTGCTGCCAATTTCTAGAAGATTGGGCTGTGATTCAGCCAGTTGAAGTTGTACCCATTTGCCACACTAAAAATAAAAATGAAATAAAATGCACTTTTAGTTCCTCTTGTTTCTTCCTCTTCACCCTTCTCATTTTTAATATATCTTCTAAATTTCCAGTTATCCTGTAAACACTTTCTTTCCATAGAGATGGGCTTACTTAATTTGAAACATAGCAGATCTAGTATAAATCCATGCCCTGCCTTTTCTTTTTTATTCTTAGGATAAATTATTCTCTCTTGGCATATTGGATTTAAGTTAAAAATTCCCAAATGAGGAAAACATACAATAGATTATGAATTACTGAATATTACAAAGTTACAGAATAATTTACACAACTGTATCCTCTCTCACTCACAAAACTGAACTGCGTGAAAACAGTGAAATTCCACTTGGGAAAGTAGGATGCAAACTTCACCACAGGGGAAAGTTTTTGTAAATGCAATTTAGGCTAATTAATGTCTTTACATTGGCCTTGCTGGTTTAGCTGAAAATAATAAATATCAGATGAAGGAATAGATTTTTATCTTATTTCAAAGGTAAAATATACTGTTTTCCAACCTTAGTTGCTGAATATTCATTAAAGTATGTAGGAAAATATTAACAAAATGAGATGCCTGTGACAACTGCCATTTGAGCACACTCAACTTGCTTTCCAAACAAGATTTATGCTGCTCTAAGACATAATTTGTCATTGCATTTCCTGAGGAATTGCTTTTCTAAGAAGCAACAACTCATTAAGCTAAAGGAACCACTAACAGGCCTGTGCATGTAGATACATGAATTACCAAAGAGAAATTAGAAAAATGTGTTTCTATTTTAGAATATAATCAGTCCCCTGAGACAGTTTGGAAAGTCACTATAGATCAGACACAGGCACTTCTATTCCATTAAAATGGACTCTCTACTCTGAATTGCTTGGCGTTTGATGTATGGGTATGGCAGAAAAGTAAGAGAGCTGAGGAGGGGGTACTGAGGGAACATCCTTAGAAATACAATTCAATTAAAATAAGAGCGTCCAGTGTAATTTTCCAGTGTAATTTTTTGCATTCAATCTACCTCTGATTTTTCTGTAATTTATCCTCTGATATTACTCCTCCTTCGGCTCCAAGAATGTTTCATATTTGAGGAAACGAAAAGTTAACTTTTTGAGAAATAGTGAGTTTGCCTCTTTTCCCTCATTGCTGAAATCTGCAGTTACTCAAAGTATCATTAATCCCATGCAAGTGATCTGTTTGCACAACTTCTGCATCAGGCTTCTTTTCATCTGCACTCCGGGACTATGAAAAGACGGGAGGGGGAGGAAGTCAGCAGAGGTCTGGTTCACGTGGGAGATAAGTCTCACAACACCAGAAAACCCACCCAGGTAGGAACACTTTCCATTCTGTCCTTCTATAGTAAATCCTTTTGCTCAATGTCAGGTTCTGTTTTCCTGTTATGAATTTTCACATTACCATAAAATTCACAGTAATTAAGTTAAATTAAACATGGCTTGTTGTCCATGCTCTAACAAAAGGCCAGAAAAGTCATTCAATTAAGCCTGGTGGGGACCTGAAAGTAACTGGTTTGTGGTCACCAGCTTGTTTGCCAGGTTTCCCTTCATTAAACACTGAATTATTTAGGTGGAACATAATCTAATGCCCAAGCCTAGTGCTTGAGAGGTTTTTGCAGGGCATTTCCATGGAGAATAAAATCATGGATGTCTTCTTCAACCTAAAGATGTGTGGCCATCTTTGCAAATGGGCAAATGGCTTCTCATAAACATGTGGTAATCATAGACCCTAAGCGGCTTCTACTTCCTGCTGTTAAGAGCAAATTTGGCACAAACCTTTCGTACCTTTCCTTGCAGGGTCTTCATTACTGGACAAGGATTTAGTAGTGTTTTTACCATGGCAAAACCAGTCTTGCAAAGGGCACATGTCACAGCCCTTTACTAGGTGTTTTCTGAGTTCTCTCATGCTTAAAACAGTGCCCTCCCACTGTCGGTCAGGACCTGCCTCCTCCATCACATCCACTCTCAAAAATCATAAGCAGTTCACGGGTCCATTGGACTTTTTACTCAGGCAATCACAAACTTCCAATCACCAATGCCTTACTTTTAAAGACCAAGTTGATAGTATATGCTAGAGTTTCTTTCTTTCTCTCTTTCTCTCTCTTTCTTAAATCAAGCTGCTATAGATGCTTTCTTGCTGACTGAAAGGAAAGAGATTCTCTGGTAATTGCTGAAACTTAGAGGTTTCTCCTAGTAGCCGATTTAAGAAAGCAGTAAGAGTGCTGGCTGCATTATCTTCTCTATGCTGTGTCCTGCTGACTGCCTAGTATGTTCTTTAGGGTTTTCAGCACACAGCTAGAAGCTCACAGCCACACAGAAAAAAAGGAAGTTGTTAGCTTACCTTTATGACAGCTATAACAATTTTGGAGTCCCCAGCCTGCACAGCAACCGAACTGACTGTTGTCGTAGAAAACTCCACACTAGGACTTCCTTGGCTGGACATGGTACTTTAGAACCAGAGTTTATACTTCGGGCAGCCTCTGGACAGTTGTGTGTCTGCTGGTCATTTCAGAAGGCGACCACCAGGGTTACTTGGATTCATTCAGGGAAAGAGCTCCGCTCACACTGATTACTCTGCCAAAAGGAAAGAACAGGAGGTTAAAAATAGACAAACCCATTGAGTTTATCGTGAGAGAGAGGAGGGAAAGAAAGAAAATTGCCACACCCCTAGTATGGTAACACTAAGTGCCTGTTATTTTTGCTGTTATCTTAAATGTGGAGGACAGTTTCAAGCTCTTTCCCTATCAGCTGATGTTTGATAAGAAATGGAAAAAAAAAATTACATTCTGACAACCCAAATTAGTTTTGCCACCGAAACTATGCAATTATAAACATGGACTTTGAAACTAGTAAGTCACTGACCTGGATATCAATCTTTTCAAGAATTTTGAAATCTCTCTCATGCAAAGAAAACTACCACAAGTGTACTTTAAGAAGGTTTGGGTATTTGTTTTGGGATTAACTCTCAAATTGCTTAAAACTCATTTTTAGATTAATCTGCCTTTCTAAAACTTACTGCTTTTTGCGAAATGAAGTTTATATGGAATAGCCACATTATCTCAAAGCCTCAGATTTCTTAGGGATATTTTTAAAAATATTTCAACCAGCACTTATGAATAGATAGCTATCATTTCAGATTTTCTTTGTGACTATTCTACTCCATGAAGCAGGGTTTTCAAGCTCAGTTATCAATATGAGAAAGTGAAATACTTTGCTTTTGCCTTAATTTAGTTGCAGCAAGAAAATGTTTTTTGTTTGGTTAAAGGTTATTACGATATATATTTTGCTGCAATTTTAAAAAAAAGGAAAGCACTATATTTCAGGCTTGATTTTCATTCCCTAACCCCACCTCCTGTGCAGGAAAATTATGGCCAGCTTCAAATCAGAGCCCCCACATTGGTAGAGTAATCCTATTGCTAGAAACTCAGCCTGTGTCACAAGTTGTCTGTGGTATTAAACAGCAGCTGTTGGATTCCCTATCAAAGAACAGCTGAAAATAACACTAAAGTTTAGGTCAGAAGTCAGATGCAAACGTATCAGAGTTACTAACTCCAAAGCTGCTGGAACCATTGGAAATCTCTGGGACAAAGCCAGAACAGAAAATATAGCAATGAACAATTTTAGTGAATCCACTTGCTGTGCAAACACTTTAGCCCAATTTAATAGTAGGTTCAGGTTAGGGCCAATGTTTAGAAGACTGAGTTAGCACCATGGCTTTGTTTTGCTAAGGTTCACGATCATATTCTTGATTCAAAGGGGAAAAGTTCTTTCACATATACTTCAGTGTTCAACAATTATTTTTGTTTCCAAGAGCATGTCATGGCTGCTCTGCCGCTGCGCAGCCACCCCCGGGTCCTCTGTGCCCAGTATCTGTCTGCTGCCCCAGTGAGCTGGAAATCATGCCTAGATCCCAGTCCCTATGCAACGCGAACTTCACCTGACCCGTGAAGGCATCAATTGGAGCAAGCTCAGGAAAGCAGGTGCCAAGCAAGCTACGAGCTAGCAACTACTGCAAAGGGTTTCACTTTATGGCAGGGCTGGAAAGCTCGCAGAGAGGTAACTGACCTGGAAGGTTGAAGGCCAGCTCCTTTTTCCACTTGAGCAAATGATCCAAACAAACCAAAACGAACTGTTCATAACTAGTTTTTAGCTAATTGTCCTCAAGAAAAAGCAAGAGTTGACACTTGGGTCTCACAATATCTAAACTGTAAACTAAAATGCCCAAACAACATAGCTTGTCATTGTGTACTTTGCCAACTGGAATGGCAAATAGTGACTTACCCTCAAAATACTCAGTGCAGGCCGGGAAGGGTGGCTCACACCTGTAATTTCAGCCCTTTGGGAGGCCGAGGCAGGAGGGTCGCTTGAGCCCGGGTCTAGATAATTTAAAAATCAACCATGCATGGTGACGCGCTCCTTTAGTCCCAGCTCCTTGGGAGGCTGAGGTAAGGCAATCCCTTTGTTACCAGAAGGAAGGTGGAGTATGAGTTGTCTGACAAAGCGCACAAAGTAACAAAGGAATGAAACAGGAACGAAGCAGCGAAAGCCGGGATTTACTAAAGCGAGAAAGCACTCCGCAGGGTGGGAGTTGGCCCGTCTACCTTAAGAAAGGACCCAGTTACAAAGCTTTCTGGGTTTTAAGTACTCCTTTTGAGGCCTCTAGTGGCTGCACCTTATCTGGATGGCTAATTAAAGGCTGCTGTGAATTGACGGGATGGCCCACGCTTGGCCCGCAGCCAATCCAGGGCACGCTCCTTTTCCATCCAAGGGGGAGGGTTGCCGAAGAGTAGCCGTTGATCTTCGCCACCAGGTGTGGGTAGAAGGGGTTTTTCCTTTTGGTTTAGTTTCTGGAAGTTGCTGTTAATTGGCCTTAGGTGCCTTGCCCCCAGACCCAGGTGTTTTCCTTTTGATCCAGCTTTGGGAAGTCAGCACAAATTGACCTCAGATTCCCTGCCCCTCAACCTTGGTGGTGTTCCTTAATTTAGCTTTAAAAAGTCAGCACGAACTCTCGAATCTATTCGCCTCCGTCACCTTGAGCCCAGGAGTTGGAGGCTGCAGTGAGCTATGCTAGCGCTACCGAACTCCAGCCTGAGTGAGAGTGAGGCCTGCCTCAAAAAAAACAAAAAGCAAACAAAAAACCTCAATGTACTTCACCCAAAGTTAATTCTATTGCTAGAAACTCAGTGTACGTCACAAGTTGCTGAAGTCCATGAAAGGTGGGAAAGTCTTTTTGGCAGCAGGCTGCAACGACCACAGGGTAAGTAAGAGTGATTCTGGCCGCAAAGCCCGAGTTAAGATGGATGATTGTGTAAGGGGTGTGGAAGGTAGCGTGGAATGTCTGGAATTGCAGGCCCAGACAGAGGGAAAAGGAGAAGGGAGATGAAGAGGCGAGAACACATGGCTAGAAGTCTGGTTAACTCCAAGGTTTAAGGGCAAAGGGAATTAGAAAAATGTAAGACTCTGTTAAAAGATTAACCCAGCTATAAAGCAACCAAAGTAGTGCCTGTGTGTGTGTGTGTGTGTGTGTGTGTATGACCTTTCCTTCTGTTAATTCGATGGAGCAGGTCCAGGCTGTTGCACAAAGGAAATGTTTTCTGCGTTGGTGAGCATAAGCAATAATGCAAAATGCGTACGTGAATTTAACTGGCTTCTGTTTTATTTTAAAATTCAAACTCTTGACTCTAAAATCTTCAAAGGACTCGAATCATGTTTTTCTCCGTTTTGGCTTTCTGTTCCTCTTTCCTTTCCTCCTGAATGTTTTAGTCCGTCCTTCTGCAGAAGCCCTGTGGCTCAGACTTCTCCATCCACATCTAGCTTGTTTAGAACTTTGACTTCATTTTTTTAATCTAGAATAATATTTAATTATAAGTTGCACCATTAACTTGTATAAACAGCTTGAAGAATAGCGTGGAATACATTATGCTAGTGATATCAGTACACTAAGATGGATTTTTTAATGTTAAAGAACTGAAAGTTTCTTGAGTTACATTTTATTTATACTCTGTCTCCCCTATCATCACCAAAAAACCCCAAAACAAAGTAAAATGAAAACCTTCTGGCATTCTCATACCTTTGAAGTTTATAGAAGATGTTGCAGAGGTTATTATGCCTTCTCTGTTTAGCCCTCTGGGAAATGCCTGTTTTTATAACAACTGGGTTTTAGTGAAATATCTTCCATAGGGAATCATAAAACTGTAACTGGATTCTGTAGAGTTGCAAATAGCACATTTTTAATGAAATAGTCTGAAAAGTTTTTCATGTGATTATTTTTAATTCTGTCAATGGTGATGCTATTAAAGTAACACATTTTCTTTGCTGGAGTATATGTGGGGTCTGATCATTTTTATGTAAGATCATAGTTATTTATCTTCATCAATAGTAGTATTGGTTAAACTATATTCAACTGTGTAAAGACAAATTAGGTAGACCTGGTATAGATAACCCAGAATAAGTCTATTTATCCAAATTAAAAATTCAAGGCAAATTAAGTGAAGCAAGTCAGACACAGAAAGACACAAGTGGGAGCCAAATAATATGTACACATGGGCATAGGGAGTGAAATGATAGACAACAAAAACTTGTACCGGCGAGGGGGCGGGGGCAGGAGTGGGTAGGTGATGGGAGATTATCTACTGGGCACAATATTTTATTTGGGTGATGGATAACCTAAAAGTCCTGACTTTACCACTATACAATATATGCATTTAACAAAATTACACTTGTGGCCCATAAATTTATACATATAAAAACAATTTTTTTAATTCAAGGCAGATCATCTCTGCTATTATGATTAATAGGGTAATAATGGTTACTAATTAGTGACTGCTTAATACAGGCCAGGAAATGGGATAAGTGCTTTACACTCTTTATTCCATTTAATCTACATAATAAGTCTGGAAAAAAATTTCTTTAATTTTACAAATGATACACACACACATGCACACATATATCCACACAGTGATTCACCAATTCCAGTCACCTCTGGTCCACCTTTTTCTGCCTAGGTTTTAAACCTATCTATGGCTGGCCTCTCCCTAGCAGGCCAGTCATCTATCCCATTATTCTCAGACAAAGGTCATTCTTGTTCTCTACCTTAATTCAATTGTTCTATCCGAAATATCATTCCCTTCTTCCTTCACCTGTCCAAATTCCTTCCATCTTTTGAGGCCAAGATAAAGTATCAACTTCTTTTAAAATTTAAAATATCTACCTATATTCTTCTTTCTTAAAAACATAATTGTAACTCAAAATGTAATAATTAAATGCTTGTTGATATAATTTGGATGTTTGTCCTTACCCAAATCTCATATTGAAAGGTAATCACCTATGTTGGAGGCGGGGCCTTGTGGGAGGTGATTGGATCATAGGGATGGCTTTCTCAGGAATGGTTTAGCATCATCTGCCTTGGTAAGGTTCTCATGATAGTGAGTTCTTGCGAGATCTGATCATTTAAATGTGTGTGGTACCTCCTCCGTCACTCTCTTGCTCCCACTTTCACCATGTGACCTGCCTGCTCCCCCTGCCTTCCACCATGATTGGATG